ATATAAGTAGCTTTTGTTCAGGGCTAATATTCTTTCCTATTAATTCTATACTTTTCATTATTATTTTTGAAATTTAGAATAATGTGGAATACTTGATTGTTTCATTAATATAAACGGTGGCAACAAGCTTCTAGTCGGATCTGAAAAGTTAGGAGTGCGATGCAGATGGTTCCTCCCCATCATCGGCTGCGGTATGCTGACTGGAGGAGTCTCTGATCGCAATCTAGCCTGCAAGGCATTAGCCGCATTGGTAGGCGGAGATGGAGGAGACGCCGAGAACGGAGGCGATAGTCGATACTCCTCAAAATTGAAGCTACCCTTCCTATGACAAGATTTGTATTCATTGAAATCTCTTAGTGGAACACGATTAATGGGAGAAATTGATAACTTCGGTGAAAAGCTATGGTGCTAAGGGGGGCTAACATAGCCCTTGTGAGGGCTGCGACTCGATCTATATCGTTCATCATATCGATATGTGTGGCAACTGTTACAGTAAGGTTGTCGTGCAAAATTCAGACTTCCGCACGACATATTCTGGCATATCCAGAAACCTTCCCTTTTCTGTGGACGAACTCTCCTCCATACGAGGACATTATATGTGCGGTTGAATCGATCCCTCTCGTGTATGGTCTGTCGCCCGTTGCGAAACCTATCATCTCCTCCTCTCCCTCGCATTCCATGGCCTGAACGTGGTCCGCGACGATGCCTAAAATCTGGTTCAAAATAACCATTATCCACCCTTGGCCAGCGCGGCGGTAAAATAGAACCTGGACGTTGTATGTGCCCTGGATCATTCTAAAACCTTTGAGATCGAGGATGGAATGCCAGAGGGGACCCACACCGTCGAAAACCAATCGCAGAACCATGACGCTCTAGACCAGGTTAGGGCGCATGATGGCAGAGTCCGTCAGGAGACCCTGGCGATGCAGCGGCGACTAGCCCCCACGGCGTCGTCTGGATGATGGAGAATCACGGGGATGAACATCTTGCGGAGAATTAAGTCAGCATTGATGCGGCGGGGAACCGCGATGACGATCATCGGTGTCATATTCGATGTCAAGATCGCTCCCTCCACCATTGCTGGCTGGAGGCTTGACGACCATGCTGTTGAGGTTGACGCCAATGCGCGGACCCGAAGACGGTGATAGGGATAGCGCCTCCGGTTCAGACTTCAAGGCAACATCAAGATCGAACTCACGGGAGCGCATCTTTGTGATTCTTTCCATGGCTTCTGTAACCTAACGAGGTGGCGGGGAATTAGGAATTTGGAGAAGAAGATAAAATCGTCATTTCAAATATCAAGATGAGTGTCCCTCCCTTCCTGCATAGAGCATGACAGAAAGGGAATCCAATAAATTTCAAAGGAGGGTCGGTGGCAAGAGTATGAAATCTTGCTCTGATACCATGTCAATATTTTGAGCAAATAAGCTGAATTCTGAGTAGGCGCGATGCATTTTCCCTTTGCTTTCATTCCATTAAATAATAATCTTACAATCTATCTTAGGTACAAAATAAAGTGCATAATCTATTTTAGGTAACTTAATAATAAATATTCCTAATCTAAATATTCAGCTAAAAGGGAAATAAATCAAAATAAAGACATTAGGAATAATTTAAATAAGGAAGCTCCTAATTATAGAAAACTCCTAATTTAGCTGTCTGATTTTCGTGCTTCCTGATTGACATCCCCCCTCAAATTAATGTTGACTAATCAAGAAGCATCAATTCGCCAACAAGAAATTGAAAACACTGTCGGGATAGAAAAATCATCAAGTCGTGAGTGTCAAAGCCGAAGGTGCTAAAGCCGAAGGTGCTAAAGCCGAGAATGTCGAAGCCTCAGAGACAACTCCTGAACCATAACATGATTTGAGCAAAGAAAAACAAGAAATCCTTTATCATTGTGGTCCAAAAATTTGAATCAGTCATAAGAAGGATTCGCTTCCAGTTACATGATTGAAATACTACCGATCATAGCCCACAAATAGGATCCAGTAGTTACATGATCCATATGTTATCGATTATAGCCTACAAGTAGGATCTGTGTCCTGATCATAGCCCACAAATAGGATTCAGTTACACGATCCATATGCTATCGATTATAGCCTACAATTAGGATCCGTGTCCTGATCCAAATACTACTGATCATAGCCCACAAATAGGATTCAGTTACACGATCCAGATACTATCAATCATAGCGTACAAGTAGGATCCGCGTTCTGATCCAAATGCTACTGATCGTAGCCCACAAGGAGGATTTGCGTCCTGTTATACGATCCAAATGATATCGTTTCTTTCTACGACGACGACGACGACAATTTGTTCCCTGGTCTTCATGCCAAAAGTTCTGAAGCTGAGATGCCGAAGCTGTGAGTGCCAAAGCCGTGAGTGCCAAAACCGAGATTGCCCAAGCCGTGAGTGTCGAATCCGAAGATTTAGGGTTTACCGAAGCCGAAGCCGTTGGTCTAGGAAGGAGTGACGAAGACTACAATTCTTGAGTGCGATGAAGAAGCCGAAGTCGAAGGGGACGAAGCTATGGTAGAAGCAGTTGAAGATGTCGCAGAAGCAGCGATGGCTAGCGAAGGAGATCTGATGCCATGTCAAGGGCGGAAGTCACTACGAGTGGAGTTTGAATGAAGGAGATGCTCTGTCGAGACTGGCCAAGTTAGCATCAACATTTCATGTAGCTTCAAGTCAAACATCCTAAACATAGAGTATAATCTACAATGCCTCTCAAATAACTAAAAATCTATTTGATCGTATCCCGATATTATTTGATTGCATAACTCATAGATCTACATACAATTCTCACTGCTTGGCCAAATCTAATACACATCAACAAACCTCTTCCTTACTTTTTTGTGCCGACACATATGATACCATTCAACATGAAATCATTCCTTTTTCATTAAGGTAAATGCACCTTTGACAGCTTAAGTGACCATCCAAAGGAGCGCTAATGAGTTTGCATCTTGCTCGTTGAACCAGTTAAGCATCTTAATCGCATATTTTTCATATAAAAACTTTACATTATTATTATTCTTTACTTGTCTTACTTTTTTTTTTTCTATTTTGCTCTCACCTACTCTTAATCTCTCACCTACTGTTAATAATCAACATATAATAGTAAAATGATACAGAAATTATAAAAAATGAATCCCATTTTGGCCAATTGAACCAGTTCAGCAAGGGGTTGCTAGGGTCGGATGGCTCTTATTTTGGAGGTTGTCGTCCAAGAAGAGGGGTCTTCCCCTTCTTTAGTTTTGGTTAAGGATTTTACTTGGACAGCTTCCGCCGTCCTCTTTTTCCCCTTTAGGGTTGTAACCAATCGTGAGAAGGTGTTTCGTTAGTAATTCGTCTTGAGGTGGTGTGTATTTACTTTTACTGTTTGCTGCCACTCTCCCCGGCTCAATGTCACAGCCTGCATCCCTCCCCTTCCCGGTTTCCTTGCTGCCAACCCCTGCAATCTACTAGACAGCCACCGCAATTCCTCTTTCCCACCTTACTGCCGGCTACCCTCCACCTTACCCGTCCTCCAGTCACTGTCCTACCGGCAGCCCTTCATTCTCGCTCTCACACAAGAGAGTCACATGTGTTTGTGTCGTTTTGTTTTTGTTTTGAGGAGTCTTCATTGTACCCTTTTGAATTTTAACAATAACATTTATATTTTAACTGTGATTTGGGTTAACTCCGGCATCACGTCTACTCCATGATAAAGGAAATGACTCAACATTCAAGGCTACAAAGCATGTCTTAACACCTTCTTCATCCTTTAAAATATAAATCAAAATCCATTACTTTATTACATTTCTCTAGCACATGTAAAGTTAGATCTGCTTTCACCACAAAAAAAAAAAAAAGAAAAAGAAAACTCTAATTGTAGGTGATCAACAGAAAAAGTAGATGAGATCTGTTGATGGGCAAAACCGAATGAAGGACTAAGTTAAGCATGAGCTCCAAACTAATAACATAATTCATAGGACCAATGCGTTTGGTGTTGGTTTAACCAAAAAAAAAAAAAAAAAAAAAAAAAAAAAAAACAGGAAAACTCTAATTGTAGGTGATCAACAGAAAAAGTAGATGAGATACCACAACGGGCAAAACCGAATGAAGGACTAAGTTAACCATGAGCTCCAAACTAATAACATAATTCATAGGACCAATGCATTACAAAAGCCTACTCATGACTAAGTGAACCTCAAAGACTAGGAAGGGTAGGAGAAGATTATATATATGCATGCTAACACCAAAATTACTGATGAGATAACACTCTGAAGTTTAATGACACTTAGGATTTACAATACAGGTTTAATATGCAATACCTAAGAAATATTTTTGAAATGTTTTGGAGAAAAATAAAAGGATCATATTTGACCATCAACATTAGTATGATTAGAGTAGACACTATTTTGGCAGCAAATAAGGGTTACATAATTCATAATTAACTCCAATAAATCAATCAGATAAAGCAGTAGAATGGGTCAGGAAAATTATTAGAATCTGACAACCTTAAGCCAGTCTGCACAAAAATACAAAAATAAAAATGAATTCCCATTGTATTGTTCAGCATGCAAAGTTCATAGGATCCAAAATCTGCTCGAAAAAGTTAAAGGGGCTATTTGAGATAACTTTTATTTTTTTAGTACATTTTTAATTTTTATTTTGTTTTGTTTATATTTTGATTTGAAATAAAATATATTTAGTATGTTTGATTAAAGTATGGTTGTTTTTGAAAATACTCAAAACACCTAAATATTATTTTCGAAAGTTTAAAAAACTTGTTAATATGTTTTTAGAAACAAAAAAATCACACAAAACAAAGATGTTAAAAATAAACTAAAAAATAAAAATAAAAACAAAAGATTGATCCCAAATAAGCTCATAGTAAATATTCGATAAATAGTGTATCATTTGCTAAGTGTTCTAACTGATACAGTTACAAATGTTTCAACTTTTTGCATTATCATCTTTAAAAAATGCAAATTAAGAGAAACGCAGCATACCCATCCTCTTGCAGTAGTTCTTTGCATATGCTTTCCAGTCCTGGGAGGGATTCAACGTTGACGTTATCGGGAATCACAAGAGACTCAGATTCTGACTGACCTTCCTACAGATAAAATCAACAACAAATCATTACTACTAATAAAAAAAGCTACCAAGGCAAAGTAACCATCATGTGAAATCAACAACTTACTTGCGGAATTACTTTGTCCAATGTCTCCAAAAGAGGATCTTCTTCCAACTGCTTGATTGAAAGAGTTAACCTTGACTTCTCCCTGAATATTGGAGAAAAAATAAGGTCAATGAAAGCAGAATTCATGTTCAACTTCAAGTCTATATTTAAAGAGTCCAAACATCATTGAAGCTGAATTCATGTTCAACTTCAAGTTTATATTTAAAGATATCCAAACATCATTGTTTATGTCTACATCCGATAAGAGCTTCAGAATTTACCTATAAATCATCAATGATTTTACTTATGATGGGTGTATCCCAAAAAATTCTAACCTATCACCATGAAAGAACTCTGCTAACTTTCAGAGAATTATTTTAAGAAATCTGGGCCCACCACCAACTACAGAGTAAGATTAATGATTGCATGACTTTTTAGACATTCACGGCATGCAGGACAGCACGACACGTTGGAGTTTCCCTGCAATGCTGCAAGTTGCTATTTGAGGTTTGTGATTGCGAGATTCCGCATAAATCAGGGAATCGATCCTAGATCCTGTCCGATAAGGACAGTAAGAATTGTGCGAAGAAATTGAAACAGAACCCCAACTTCTAAACTTTCGCATATCATTTCTTCCTTTTTGATTTTTTTTTTCTATTTCACAATTTCCAACTAGGTTTTCTTTTATGAGGTACTATTTATATGTTGTTAGTTCCTACTTCTTTAGACTTTTGACTTAGCTTATGTGTTTTGCAAACTGTGTCTCTAATATCTACTCTAATAGAGTGTTAAATCATTTTTCTTTTGCAAGTGATCTATATGTAGCTTGTGAATGAATAAGTAGTGAATCTCATCAACATCTGTACCTACTCGTTTCAACACTATCTTCGCTATTTACAGCCTTGACAACCGTCCAGAGAAATTCATCTCCCCCAAAAGTCGTCGACCGCCCCTATTATTGATACAAGGTGAATTTAGTAATTTTCCCAGCATTAAATATCATCTAAATTATCTTATATATTATGATTATACGATTAAGAAATGTATTTTTGTTGTTTCGTGCTGAATAAAAAGCTTAAGACACTTGGAAAAGGAGAAGGGACGAATTTAGAGCAAAAAGGACCAAAAACAAGAAAATGCACGTGACCGCCCTTAGTGTCTTAAGCTTTTAGTTGAGCGCACGCGCATCTACGTGCACCATAACAGCGTATACTTTCACGCTACTGCTTTGCACACGTGCATAACTACAAATCTACACGCCTACTTGCGTGCAAATGCACACGCACCCAAGCGCTCCGGGCGCATGCCACTTGCAACCCTCGAATCTGCCAGATCCAAGCTACAGATGTTCCAAAACAGGCTTCGCGGCTCACAACACCCCTGCGCAAGCGCAAAACTCAAGAGCTTTAGGCGTGGGGCTTGCTAAAACCAGACTCGCGGTTTCCAAATCCTACCTCGCGCACGTTGCTGCCCTAACCAAGTGTCGATGCTTGCACGCACCCGCAGTGCACATAAGCGCACTCAAAGCCCTAACTTATCAAACTTGTCGCTGTACTTGCCAGATACAGCATGTGCGCGCGGCCTCTTGTACATGCACATGGGCACACACCCATGTGCGTGCCCGTGCTCGTCAACCTGCTAAAACGCATAATTTCAGGATTTTAACTAATTTTGAGAAATTTAATGCTTATTTTGGACCAAGTATAAATGCATATTTTTGTGACTATGAGAGCTCTTTTTACCTCTTGGACCTTTTTGGAGCTTTCCTCCTCGGCTTCGCTCGAAAGAGTACGTTTCTTATATATTTTCGGAGCTTTCCTCCTCGGCTTCGCTCGAAAGAGTACGTTTCTTATATATTTTGTCTTTTTCATGATTATTTGAGAGTTCTTATGATCTTGTAAGGTAACAAAGAGTGCAATTGTATGAGAGAGATTCATGAAGATTTGTATTGATCGAAAAGGACATTGATGTACTGCAAAGATTGTTTGGCTCTATCTTGAGTTTTCTATACTTCTTATGTTGTCTCCCTTAAACATGCAATAACAAAGCTTATGATTTTTTCAATAATGCATTGTAACTAATCTTGTTCCTCTTCCTGTGGTGTAAGTCTTGTGGAGTTCATGTGGTTTGCATGTTATGGATCTCTTTTTTCCTCGGTGATTTCTGAGCATAAATTTCTGACGTTGATGCATTAACCTTGTAATAGGAGTGCTCCAAAGGATTGAGTTGAAAGACAACTCCGGGCAGGAGAGTAACTAAGTGGAGTTAGATCCAAAATCTGAAGAACTTACCCATCCCAAAGTTAGGAATGTTGAAATTATCTTTTAGGGGTCTACTTCTTGCAATTTAAGAGAAAAACACTGATATGTAATTAAGGAAAATAATTGGAAGAATTTTGGATTCAGAAAGAACCTTTAGAAATGATAATCTGAATCAATCCCCTACATACCCTCAAGAAAACTATTATAGAACGGAGAAGGAAAAATAGTAAAAAAAATTAAAATTTGAAGATTTACTAGAAAGTCCAGGAACATGACAAGATTGTGCGATTAATCGAGGATTACAAAATTAGAATTTTGATCTTGGAGGAAGCATTTTTCGTCTGGTTGAGGATGTAAAACTAAGTCCTATATTGGAAGGCAGCCCAAGCATTATGTGAGTTGAGCATGTTGTCTTTTTACTTTCTACATTTGTTTTGAAATTTGCTTTAAGATTTACTTTAAAATTTATTTTGAAATTTGATTTGATTTTTTCATTTGGATTGGTTTTTAGTATTTTTTGTCATGTTACTTATGCATGAGTCATTGTCGGCACAAAAAAAGAGGTTGTTTGGGGGTCGTCTGTAAGAAGTTGTCGGCAGCCGGAATTGAAATCCCATCGCCCGCTTCGGAAGGACATTTTAATTTACGTGTATATATATATATATATATAATTTTAGAAAAATATGAAATCAAACTGACCTCATATTTTTCACAGTTTAAATGAAAAAACGCTCTACCTCAAATCTTGTATCTATCCCGAGGGATAAACACAAGACTTGAGGATGAGACTCAATCAAATAATCTAAGAAAATATATGACATCCGTTTGGGTCTGCGAAACCGTTTTATTTGCCGACAAGTTCCCCTATTTAATACAAATAATTAAATAGGGTTTATTTTAAG